ACCAGACTGTGCCCTAGACTACAACGTGAACATGCACCTCGTCGATAAATGTGACATGATGCTCGGTGCAGTGGAGTGCGTGTGCAAGTCTGTGAAGTGGACGAAAAAGTTCTTTTTCCACCTAATAGATGTTGCAGTGCTCAACTGCTTTAATATATACCTGGTAAAATCAGGCAGGAGACTGCCAATACAGACATTCAGTGTTGGTGCTGTGCCACAACTGTTAGTAAAGTATGGAGGGCTCTGTTGCACCGCGCAGGGTGCAAGCAACAATGCTACACGCAGCTCCAGATAGTCTGGGGGACTAACGAGAATTTTGGTATCCACATGCTTGAGTATATGCCAAGCACAGCATCATGTGAGAAGGGTAAATGTGCCTGTATAGTATGCAGGAACACTACCTGAAGAGAACAAAAGCGAAGCTGCATCAGCACCTAGTGCGTGGAGTGCAAGGTTCTACTATGCCCTGTTGGCTGTTTCGCAGCATATCACACACTCGTAATTACCTAAGTGTAGTTACAGGATGAGAGCTACGCTCGTGGTGTCCCGTCTTCCCAGCACTCTTTGTCATATAACGCTTTGAAACTACTGACGGTCTTGGCCTCCACCACTTTCTCACTTAACTTGTTCCAACCGTCTACTACTCTATTTGCGAAGGTGAATTTTCTTATATTTCTTCGGCATCTGTGTTTAGCTAGTTTAAATCTATGACCTCTTGTTCTTGAAGTGCCAGGTCTCAGGAAATCTTCCCTGTCGATTTTATCAATTCCTGTTACTATTTTGTATGTAGTGATCATATCACCTCTTTTTCTTCTGTCTTCTAGTTTTGGCATGTTTAATGCTTCTAACCTCTCCTCATAGCTCTTACCCTTCGTGGAGTTCTGAGTGTGTTTATGGTGTGTGTATATAGTGTGTGATACTGTATAGTGTGTAAATAGATTGTAAATATAAATAAATTAGTATGATACATTGGAAATGTATGCAGGATATGTGTACACATGTGTCATGCACGTAACACAGTGCTTTCGAACATTTCGGATGTTCTACTGCCATAATATAGTGTACATGTTCATTATACATAGGATTGGCACGAAAAACAAATAAAATGTATTTGGAACTGTGCTCAAAAAATAAACAAAAATATATTCGTGGCAACTCGTGCATCTTGGGCCGAGTGCCCTACTGGCCTCGGGAGCGTACGCCACGGGCAACCCGGAATTGATGACGTCATGCGCGAACTTACGTACCCCATAGCAGCCAAAGTAAGTACAATTTCGACTTTTTGTTACATATCCATACTCCGGGATGGATTTTTGACACAAAAAAATAAAAATATTTTTTCCAGATAATTTATTACCTGTGCATGGGGGGGGGGGTGGTTGCTGTATTTGGAAGCTGAGCAGCCTAGTGGTTAAATAGTATGTGAAACTGTACATATTGTAATTTTAGTGAACTTTTAACACGTAATATTGCGACAATAAACATTTATTGTAGACATATTACTGACACATGTATCACAGTTCCATAAAACATTATGAACGTTCTTTTGTATACATATTGTAAAAGACACAAATATGCATCATATACAATAAAAAATATATAAAACCGCATTGGAAATACATAGAACAAATAATTGAAAATTTATTTGTGGCAACTCGCGGTGCTTGAATGGCCTGCGCGACCACCTCTGGAATCTTCACGCACGGGCGACCAGCCAGTGATGACGTCACAGTGCACCTTGTCCACGTCCCCACAGCCAAAGTAAGTGGAATTTGGTATTTATTTTTTCATAGACATGTTCAGGGAAGGGAATTTATAATTTTACAAACAAAAAATAGTTTTTTGGGAACACTTGATTTCATGCGCACAGGGGAATGTCACAATAAACTCAGCGCATCACAATGGTTAATAAGTATACAAGGGCTAGTAGAACATTACTAAACTTTAAGAAATATTCTTTAGGAAAACTAAGGATTTTTTTTTTTTTTAAGAGGTTGTTGGGGCTGGATGGATGAAACGAATTCTGCACTGGAACAAATCGGCTTTGCCCCATACAGTTCATTCAAGTGAGGACACACTGTACTGTACATGCAAGCAACACCACTTGCCAGACTCCAGGTCGAAGGGCTCGAACCCAACAGGCAGCATGATGGAGGCACAACTAGTGATTGTCACCCATTTGAGACAAGGGGACAGAGCAACCTTCAAACTCGCACCAGGTGAGATGGGACCCCGGAGATGCATCGTTTGGTCCACTGAGCCCCAGTGCGGTTTTCTAGGACCCTTGGATGTACTGCTAAGGGAAGCCCAGGCAATGTACTACTAACTGGCGCCCCAAACTACCGAGCAAACCACTAATTGTCGAACCCCCACGACATGTATGTTTCTATGATTTTTATGAGTTTTCAGTTTCTATGATCGAGCTACGGAGATTTTACAGGAAAAAGATGGTTGGGGTTGACTGCATCTATCTGGACCTAAAGAAGGCTTTCGACAGAGTTCCACATAAGAGATTGTTTTGGAAACTGGATCATTTTGGAAGAGTGACAGGTAGGCTTTTAACACAGATGAAACATTTTCTGACAGAAAAATGAGGGCAGTAATCAGAAGCAATGTTTTGGACTGGACAAATGTCATGAGTGAAGTACCACAGGGTTCAGTTCTTGCACCAATAAAGTTCATTGTATACATAAACAATCTACCAGAAGGAATACAGAATTGTATGAACATGTTTGCTGATGATGCTAAGATAATAGGGTAGATAAGAAACTTTGATGAGTAATGCCCTTTTAAGAAGACCTGGACAAAATAAGTGTATGGAGCACCACTTGGCAAATGGAATCTAACACTTTCGTCCCCTGATGACGTTAGCGAGATCCGTCCGGCCACCAGGAAGTCCAAAATTAAAATATTTGTTAAAAATCTATTTGTTTTCTGATCATTATGGGACTAGTTTTAAAATGTGTGCCTTTAGATTGCAAATCATTTGATACCAGAATGAATGACATAGCATGCAAATTGAGGTGAGAAAACTTAACAGAGTATAAACATTTTAGTGTGGATGTGCAGATGGGTGCTTGCTAATGGGTAACGCTTGGCAGACTTTCTAGTTTGCTGTGGGTAACATGCCTGTTTATTTTTTATCATATATACAAATAGCCCTTTAGAAAATTCTATTGCAAACAAATTTATACCAAAATGAACGATGTAACACGAAAATTGACGGGTAACGCTTGGCTGATTTTGTGGTTTGCTGCAGGTGGCACGCTGGGCTTTCTGACCTTATATGCATATATCCCTTTAGATAATTTTATTGCGAACAATTTGGAACCAAAATGAATGATATAACACAACAATTGACGAGAAAAAACTAAAAATAGTATACACATTTTAGTGCAGGTGTTGTGGGTGTGCGCTTGGCCGATTTTTGGATTTGCTGTGGGTAGCACGACAGGCTTTTTGACCTTATGTGCATATATCCCTTTCGAGAATTCTATTGCGAACAATTTGATCCAAAAAATGAAAGATGTAACACGAACATTGACTTGAGGCAACACATTTTAATAAGGGTGTTGTGGGTATGTGGATGGGTGCTTGCTCATGGGTAATGCTTGACTGATTTTTGGGTTTGCTGCGGTTGGTATGAAGGTTTTTTACCTTATATGCATATACCCCTGTAGGGAATTCTATTGCGAACAATTTGATACCAAAGTGAACAACGTACAACAAAATTTGAGGTGAAAAAGAGTATACACATTTGTGTGCGGGTATGCCAATGGGTGTGCACTCACGGGTAATGCTTGGCCGAGTTTCGGCTATTCTGCGGGTGGGGGGAGGAGGAGAGGCCACCAGGCTTTTGGACCTTATATGCATATACCCCTGTAGGAAATTCTATTGCGAACAAATTGATGCCAAAATGAACTACGTAGTACAAGAATTGTGGTGAGAAAACTGAAAAGTGTATAGTGATACCTCGGGTTACAAATGCCCCTATTTACAAACTTTTTGGGTTACGAGCACAATTTTTTCATAAAATCCGAATTGGGTTACGAGCACAATTTTTTCATAAAATCCGAATTGGGTTACGAGCTTTGCCTCAGGAAACGAAGTTTGTTGATACGCATATGGCCGACGTTTACCAGTTTCAGTTTACCAGTGCCTCTCACCTAGTGACAATCGCGGCTGAATTCTTTGTAAAGAACTACAGTTTTTTGGATTTTTGGGTATTAGAACATAAAAGTTGTTATAATTATATATCTCGCCATGGGTCCCAAGAAAGCCAGTGGCAAGGTTCAAGTCAAGAAAACACATGTGAGAGTGACCATAGAGGAAAACCAAGAGATCATTCATAAACATGAAAATGGTATGAGGGTTGTTCATGTAGAATAGAGGATGTCCCTTCCTCATTTATTAAGAAAATGTGTACAGTATGGAAAGAATTACAAAGTTTTGCTGAAAAGTGTCACCCAAATCAAGCTGTTGCAGGCTGTTGTGTTAACCTTTTCAAAGACAATGTGATGTCTCACTTCAGACAAGTGTTACAACATAGGGGAAAAACAAGTGTCGCTAGACAGGTCTTTATTGAGAAAAACAAGCAAAGTACCACAAGCAGGTCCTAGTGGTATGCAGGCAAAACATGCCAGAGAGTGTACCCCAGAGAAGTTATCAATGCCTGATGTTATAATGGTAGGGGACTCTCCTTCCAAACACTAACACCTCTCCTCCTCCCTCCCTCCTCCCTCCCTCCTCACTGTCTTCCATAACGCCAACAAAAGTTATCAGTAAAGGTAAGTAATAACTTGTACATACTTTAGTACTGAAGATTTGGGTGAATTAGGTATAAAATTTACTTTGAGTTAATTCTTTTGGGAGACTAGAATGGATTAATTCAATTGACATTATTTCTTATGAAGAAATTTGCTTCAGTTTACGAATATTCGGCTAACGAACCATCTCTGGGAATGAATTAAATTTGTAAGCTGAGGTACCACTGTACTTACACCAGGTAGTGTACGATACACAGTGGATGGACACACACATGGCTGATCATCATCCTCTTCCATCTGCAGAAAATACAATAATTTAATTGAAGGTTTGTCACATGATAAACAGCTTGTATTTACTTTGTATTCATATTTTGCCCAGCTACAACAAAAATTTAAGAATCTACACTTTTAGACATTCAAACGTATTGAAATAAAAGGCAGAACTGTACAGTGATCTGGAAACAGATGAATGATAGAGATACAAGGAAAATATACAAGACTGACATTTGGTAGGCGAGAGTGATGCAATTACACACACAGAAATCCTGAAGCCAGTCCAAGTTTTACGTATGACCCCCAATCACATGGGTGCAAGAAAAGTACAATAGAACCTCTGTGTATGCCTCTGAGTACAAATCTTTCGGTGTACAGCATCCACTTGATTTAACGGCCTATATGGGGATGAACCCAGGTCGTTAAATGCAGGGCACCGGTATTTCCGAAGTTGTTGAAGTGTCGGTAATATTTTGAGTAACATTCAAATAAGATATATTTTATATAACTAAACTTAAATAAAGTTCTTGGTGTAATTGCATTCCAAGTTAGTTCCTGTGTTAGTACTATACCCATTCTATCACAGGTTACAATTAATAATTCCTTCATATGAAAAGTTGGATCACACAAGTAGACAAGTGGACCACACAAGTGGTCCACAAGTGGTCCACAGGTTTACGATGTTGGGACAGAGTTTACAGAGAGGTGGAAAACTTTCCCATTCTGTCACAGGTTACAATTAATAATTCCTTCATATGACAAGTTGGATCACACAGAAATAGACAAGCGGACCACACAAGTGAACCATATTAACCAAACACCTCCCTCCCTCACCACTCTTCCCTCACCTCCACTCTTCCCTCATCCCCACTCTTCCCTCAACCCCCACTCTTTCCTACCTTCCTCCCTCACTGCTGCTATCCCTCCTTGTATCTTCTTTCAATGCCTCCCTCCATCACTGCCTCCCATCCCTCCCTCAATGCCTCCCTCCAACACTGCCTCCCATCCCTCCCTCAATGCCTTCTATCCCTTCCTCATTGCAATGTCTTCCATCCCTCCCAAACTGTCTCTCTGCCTTCCTCATAACATGAGAACAGCAGGCTATGGAGGAGGAAGCTACTAACGGGGTCGATGCTACCCGGATATGTCTGTCAGCGCCTGCTCGCAGATGCCAACTGTGCATAATTCATAAATAAAATTGTATTTGTTTAATTAACCCTCAAACCACGCATATCATATATAAATGATATCAGTGACAAAACCGAAACCTCGCATATCATTTATATATGATTTCGTGTCTAGCGCTATAATTTAAACGCCCCGCCTGGGATAGGGGCAGCTATAGTACAGCCACGACCGATAGTTACCAGATGCCACCTAGAAAAAAAATCCAGGCCAACATTCTTGGGTGTTACAGCGTCAGTATTGAGCAAGCCACCAAGGCTGGCGCACGCAGCACGAGCTCACAGCACCGCTGTTCAGCTTGTGACCACAGCATTGCCTACAAATGCCATAATATACTTGTTCATGCTATTATTTAGCAGTGATAGTATTACTGAAGCCCCCTGTGATAAAACTGACCAGGATTCTGATTATAGCAGGATTGTGGTGATATTTAGCGCTGTGCTCCATGGAGGGAGGAGTAAGGCTGTGGAGGGAGGGTTGTGGCGTCGTCTTCTGACTGTGTGTGGCCACCATTTATTGACTGCACTCACCATACCAGCTTAGTGGTTCGATATAGTGAACACAAATGTAGATACTTATATATAACGTGTGTATATAGGGTATAAACAGCAAGAGGAGTAGGTTGGGAGCCGCCATTTTGGTGAGGGCGGTGGCGTCGTCTGCACGACTTGGCATGTTGTTTACTGATGGCCACTATTGTCTTTGGGCACCATGCCAGTTTATTTGTACAGGTATGGTGAATAAAACAGGTAGATACTTATATATAATGTGTTTATATAGCGTAATAACACCACAAACAATATTGTTGGAGGAGAAATATTAGTGCGTCTGGCCTTGAGGGTGGCCGCCGATCAGCTGACTGTGTGAGTAGCTACGTCTTTGTGCCTTTACTCACCGTACAAGCTTAGATGTACAGTTATGGTGAACAAAACATGTAAATACGTATATATAACGTCTGTGTATAGTGAATAAATGCAAAAACAGTATTGTGGGAGGAGAATGAGGGTGAGTGAGGTGGAGTTGAGGGAGGGAGTGGCAGTGAGTGGCTCGGTGGTGTTTGGCAGTCACTCCTCGTTGCTTTTTGACTCACAAGACCAACTTAGTAGTTCGTTATGGTGAATAAAACATGCAGATACTTATATATAACCTGTGTATATAGTGTAACAACGGCAAAACTATTTGTTTATTGTTTTATGAACATAATAATTGAATCACTAATATGCCACCATAATTTTGAGTACAGCGATGGTTCACACATTTTATTATATAAATATACCACAATTCACTGTATGGAATAATATTACTGCAAAAAACTAAGAAAAAATCAGAGACATTGAAATAATTAGGTAATAATATATTTGTGGCAACTGCCGTCTGACAGCTCGGGCGGAGTAGACCTCGTCTGGCGAAGGCTCTGCCAACGCCCCTTTTTTGCCACACTTCCCTACCCTATTGCGGCTAAAATATGCCACCTACGATTTTTTTGTTATTTTTTCTGTGATCAGGGAACAAAAATGAACACTTCTATAAGACGAAAGAATTTTTTTGATTTTTTTTTTTTTTTTTTTTGCGCCTGTGGGTGTGAATTCCATTTGGGCCCCTAGCGGTTTGAGTGTAAATAAATAGAAAACAATAAAACATGTTAATGATTATTAACCCTTCAATTGCGCATCGCATCATATGATGCTTTGACCGACTTGCAGTAAATTGCGCATCGCATCATATGATGCTTTGGAGTACTACGCAAGATTTAAACGGCCCGCGGATACACGGGGTTCATCACACCTTCATCAGGGCTCTTGTAAACAGACGCCATTTAAAAAAAAAATCGTGGGCCAAACCCCAGGGTGTTAGGGGCCTCAGTATTGAGTGAGCTACCAAGCCTGACGCACGCAGCATGAGCTCACAGCACTGCTGTTCAGCTTGTGACCACAGCATCGCCTACAAATGCCATAATATACTTGTTCATGCTATTATGTAGCGATGATATTATTACAGAAGACCCCTGACTGTGATAAAACTGACCAGGGTTCTGATAATAGCAGGATTGTGGTGATATTTGGCGCTGTGCGCCATGGAGGGAGGAGTAATGCTGTGGGAGGGAGGAAGATGGTGTTGTCTTTTGAGTGTGTGTGGCCACCATTTACTAACTGCACTCACCATACCAGCTTAGTGGTTCGCTATGGTGAACACAAATGTAGATACTTATATATAACGTGTGTATAGTGTGAGATAACAGCGTGAGTAGGAGGTTGGGAGCCGCCATTTTGGTGAGGGAGGTGGCGTCGTCTGCACGACTTATCATGTTGTTTACTGATGACCACGATGGTCTTTGGGCACCATACCAGTTTACTTGTACAAGTATGGTGAATAAAACAGGTAGATACTTATATATAATGTGTGTATATAGCGTAATAACACCACAAACAGTATTGTTGTAGGAGAAATATTAGTGCGTCTGGCCTTGAGGGCAGCCGCCACCAGCTGACTGTGTGAGTAGCTACGTCTCTCTGCCTTTACACACCATACAAGCTTAGATGTACAGTTATGGTGAACAAAACATGTAAATACTTATATATAACGTCTGTATATAGAAGCAAAAACAGTATGGTGGGTGGAAAATGGTGGCAAGGCAGGTGAGGTGAGGTGAGGGAGGGAGTGGCAGCCAGTCACTGCCTGCCACTGCCACTCAGCATACCAACTTAGTGGTTTGTCATGGTGAACAAAACATCCAGATACTTATATATAACCTGTGTATATAGTGTAATAACTGACAAAGTATTTGTTCACTGTTTGATGAACATAATTGAATCAACAATATGCACACCATATTTTTGAGTACAGCGATGATTCACTCATTTTATTATATAAATATATCACACTACACACTATTGAATAATATTACAGCAAAAAAACTACGAAAAATCAATCAGAGACATTGAAATAATTAGGTAATTATCTCTTTGTGGAAACTCTGGCCTGACAGCTGGCGATCAACAGACCGCCTGGGGACGCACGCTCAGTCAGCGCCTGATTTCTGTCACACTTCCCCGCCCTATAGTGGGCAATATATGCCACTTACAATTTTTTTATTTTTTCCCGTGATCAGTGAACACAAATTAACAGGTTAGGAAAAAAAAAAATTTTTTTTTTTTTTTTTTTTGGTATGCGCCTGTGGGTGTCAAATGGTATATAGCTATGCGCCATTTAAGGGTTAATGTATAGTAATACAGGAAAATTAACATATTTTGGCATAAACAATGTACAGCTATTAACATTTTTATTACAGTACTAGCAGTACCGGGCCACGAGTTGCTGTGGCTCAGCAACGCATGTGCATTGCCGAGCCACAGCAACCTTCCCCGTCTCCTCGTCCTCCCCACCATCTCTTACTTCCGTCCCCTCATCATCCCCACCATTCCCCACTCCCTCGTCCCATGCCTTCCCAAATGGTCTGATGTCCCCATCAGAAAATTGGGAACATTAAGTGATCTGATGTTCCCATCACTGAAACATAAGAAAAACAGTTAAAAAAAGAAATGAAAATATGAAAAAAAAAAATTATACTCACGAAATGAACGGTATGGTAAACAACACAGCTCAGTTCCAACGCAAATTCACACAAAATAATTAAATCGAAATGAAAATAAATCAAAATCTATGAAAATTGAAATTATCAATGCAATCAGAAACATTGAAATGGAGTTTGTAACATATTTAGTATAGCATGTGTGTTGCTCTTACATGCAACAGATGGCGCTGTTTTTCAAGAAATGCATGTTTTTACCTGTCAGAGGGGTGGCATCTATATTGTAGGTACATAAAAAGATGCGCCTATTCGAATGCAATGTTGAGTCAAAATTTCAAAGTAGTCAGTGAAGAACTTTTAGAGATTACAGCGTGTGTTACTCTTGCGTCCAACAGATGGCGCTGTTTTGAAAAAAAAAATGCTTTTCCTGTCACAGGTGAGGCATGTATATAGTAGATATATAAAAAGACGTGCTTATTCAAATGCAACGTTGTGTCAAAATTTCAAAGCAATCGGTAAAGAGGTTTCAAAGATTTCTCTCACATGAAAAACACATGAAAAACACAGTTTTTCAGAAAAAGCATGTTTTTTTTACCATCACAGACGTGATATCTATATAGTATGTATATAAAAACCTGGCCAAATGCGAATGGAACGTTGTGTGAAAATTTCAAAGCAAAAGGTGAAGAAATTTCGGAGATTAGCGATTTTGAACAAACGAACATTTCCATTTTTATTTATATAGGTGGATGGGAGGGTTTGGTAACCATCGTTTGGTCAGCCATCCTTCCCACCACCTCCCTCACCACCACCAACACTCTCCCTCACTACCAAAAACACCACTCTTCCTCACTACCACCAACACTCATCCTCACCACCACTTACACTCTCCACCACCACCACTTCCCCTCACCACCACCCTTTCCACCACTCTCCCTCACCACCACCACCATTACCACTCTCCCTCACCACCACCAACACTCTCCCTCACCACCACTTACACTCACCACCACCACCACCACTTCCCCTCACCACCACCCTTTCTACCACTCTCCCTCACCACCACCATTACCACTCTCCCTCACTACCACCCATACCTTTTTTTTTTGGGGGGGGGGGGAGTAAAGAGGAAGGAGAGGCATAGGTGAAGGGAAGTGTAAAAGTGGGAAATACAGTGAGAGGGATGAAAGCAGGTGGGCTGTCCGCCTTGCTGACATGCGGACAGCCTGCCTGCTTTCATACCTCTCACTGTATTTCCCACTTCTACACTTCCCAGATCTACACTCTCCCTCACAACTACCAACACTCTCACCCACCACCACCAACACACTCCACCGCCACCAACACTCTCCCTCACCACCACCAACACTCTCCTTCACCACAACCAACACTCTCCCTCACCACAACCAACACTCTCCCTCACCACCACCACCAACACTCTCCCTCCATCAATCAATGCCTTCCATCCCTTCCTCAATACCTTCCATCCTTCCCTCACTGCCTCCCCTCCCTCTCTCAGGTTGGTATCAAAAAATATTTAATTACGACTCTGGATGATCGAGGTTGGTGGCCTGTTGCCATGTGAGGGCCCACCGATGCTAAAACAAACCTAATACTGACCGCCCTTATATCGTTACCGTTATATCAACCGCCAGACCGGTATTTGAGGCTCCAGATACCGGTCTCCCAAACCAGTCGATGGAACCGGTAGATTGGTAAATAAGATGCCGTTAAATCGAGTGGATACTGACGACAATTTTGTTGTAAAATCTGCCCAGGTGTACGATGTTTGCTCCAAAGTATGCAGAGCTTGTTCAGTATCCACTCGATTTAATTAATGCCTTATATAACCCAAGCTATAAATTACTGGGATCCACTATATCCACAGGGTTTAAAATGTCACTAACATTTTAGTCATATCTGGGAGGGCAACAGGATGGATGGTGGGGGACTGGATGGATGAATAGTAGGGGGAATGGATGATGGTAAGGGGGGTACAGGATAGATGGATGGTGTGGGGGGACTGAATGGATGGACGGAGTGGGGGGCGGGGACTGGATGGATGGTGTGGGGGGGGGGGGACTGGATACCTTACCTTACCTTGCCTTGAGGTGTTTTTAGAGCTTAGTGTCCCTGCGGCCCAGTCATTGGACAAGCCTCCCGGTTGCTGAACTGGTCTACCAGGCCGTTGGATGTGGCTGCTCGCAGCCTGATGTATGAGTCACAGCCTAGTTGATCAGGTATCCTTTGGAGGTGCTTGTCAAGTTCTTTCTTAAACACTGTGAAGGGTCGGCCAGTTATGCCACCTTATATGTAGTGGAAGCGTGTTGAACAGTCTCAGAACTCTGATGTTAATAAACTTCTCTCGAGTACCTACTGCACCCCTGCTTTTCAACGGGGGAATTCTGCACATCCTGCCATGCCTCCTGGTCTCATGTGGTGTTATTTCCGTGAGTAGGTTTGGGACCAGCCCCTCTACTATTTTCCATTATTTTCTGCCCGAAACGCTGTGTATACTAGTGGCTTTACAAGAATGTAAACACAATGCTATGTACTCTCACAAACCCAATCTACCTTCTTGTCTATAAATAAATAAAAAATAAATAAAATGTATAAATTATTATGTATCTCTCCCACCTGCACTCAAGAGAATACAGATTTAGGCATTTCAGTTGGTCCCAATAGTTTAGATGTTTTACCAAGTGGATTCTAGCAGTAAAGGATCTCTGCATGCTCTCCAGGTCAGCAATTTCTCCAGCTTGGCAAGGGGCTGTCATTGTGCAGCAGTATTCCACTCTAGAGAGCACTAGCATCTTGAAGAGTATTATCATTGGTAGAGAATCTCTAGTTTAAAAAGTTCTTGTTATCTAACCCGTCATTTTTCTTGCAGTAGTGACGACTACTTTATTGTGTTCTTTTCAAATTCCACTTACTTTGGCAGTGAGGAGGTGGACAAGGTGCACTGTGACGTCATCATGGGCTGGTTGCTGGAGCGTGACTCGTCCAGACACGGTCGCGCGGGCCATTCAAGACCCGCCAGTTGCCACAATTATATTTACAAATATTATTTCTATGTATTTTCAATGCTTTCTAACGTTTTTCTCGTATCGTATCAGATGTATATATGTGTCCTGACAATGTATATAAATTATAACATCCATAATGTTCCATGGAACTGTGACACATGTGTCACTAAAGTGTCCTCAATAAAGGTTTCTTGTTGCAATATTACTTGTTTTACTTTCACTAATAATACATTATACTGTATACAGTTTCACACACTATTTACAAAGTAGCACACAGTATTACACTCTTAGTACTTAGCAAGCGAGTGATATTCAAAGAAGCAGTCCATGAGACACAGCAGAACTTTGCACTCGACACATATGGTACAAACAGATTTTCGCTTCCTTGGTTTTCGTTGAGTGCTTGCAAACAATACACTCACGTATACATTTGGCCTTAGTTCCTGTAGGTGGTAGGTAGGCAGGCTTGTGAATTGCAAAAGCCTCTTTACCAGCCAGTCTGTTGGAAACTAAATGCACTCTGGTTGGGGCATGATAAACTGTTCTTACGCTATCTTCCTGGCTATATTTTGGTGAGTAATTGCGACAGCAGAGCTTGACTAAACACTCAAATTGAAAGTTTTTTGCCCGTTTTCATCAAAAACATGTTGAAACAGTTGAGCACTGTTATGTCCACAAGATAAGGAAGAATTTCCTTGTGCACTTTACAGTTCTGCAGACACACTCGATGGCACCAACCATCATGTCACATTTATCTACAAGTCTCATATTTATATTGTAGTCAATGATACAATCTGGCTTGAACAATGATCCATCACTTCGATACCTCAATTTGCCACTGTCAAGCATTTCACCAGTGTGAATAGTTGTCAACATATTGACTTCACGCTTGTCTTTCCAACGCACTGCTAATATTTTGTCACATTTTCTAAGTTTACAATCACCTACACCAATTTTATTTAAAAAAACCGCCATTTCTTTCCTATTTGCCTTTACAGTGCCACACACTCCCGTGTTATGTTCAAGCAAGAACTTTGTTAGCAAGGGGCTCGTATAATAATTGTCAGTGTACAGAATGTGCCCCTTGTTCAGCAATGGTTCCATTAGCGTCTTCACTACACTGCCAGAAAACCCGAGAGGATCCTCTGAGGGTATGTCTACATCTGTACCAGAATATAATATCATATTGATCACCATTCCGGTTTCACAGTCGCAGAGTACAAAAAATTTGAGGCCAAAGCGGTGCCGTTTCGATGGGATGTACTGTTTGAAAAAAAAAGACGTTCCTTGAAAAGAACTAGGGATTCATCAATGACAACATTCTGTCCAGGTACAAAGTAATCACGAAATTTTCCTCTAAGATCATTAAACACTTTTCACACTCTCCAAAGTCGATCATTTCTATCAAAATTTTCAAGGTTTTCAAAGTGTAGGCACCGTAGTAGTAGCAGGAACCTGTCTCGTGACATGTATTTGTTGAGCACAGGTGATGGAACAGCAGCTTCTTTGTTCCAATAATCCTGAATAACTTGTTTCTCCGAAAGTTTTTGGAGCAGACATAGAGCAAAGAAAACATACAGCTCAGGCACAGTGGTGTCCTTCCAACGTATCATACGTGAAGCCTGTAATATTCCAGCTTCAATAAGATGCCCTGCATATCTGTTGGTTTCGGCAACAAGATGTCGCACGAACTGCTCATCAAAATATGCATGAAAATATTCCATTTCCGTCATGTCTTCACTTGTGTACGGGAACATGGGTGCAACCCCCACATCACTATCATCAAACTGAGGTTTGTGTGGTAGAAAAAATATAACAGTCCTCCCACACAAATTCACCCATTCTCCTTTTAGCACTTACCCGAGCGACTCCACTACGGGTGCGTTTTCTGGCACTAAATCTCCTTTGGGGAGGAGTTGGAGGTCTTCTACCTGGTCTACTAGTAGGGCGATCAGAGAAAGTAGATGTAGAGGCAACACTGTTGTCAGTGTCGTCCAGAGGGGATACATTTCCGGGCTTGGCAGGGCGATCTGCTGAGACAGCAGATCTGCGCCTGGTAACACCGCAACGCCGGCAGCTGCTAGCCCTTGCCTCATTTATGCTACTTGTATCAGAAGCAGCATCACTAAACCCAGAAAATGACTCAATAGTATCACTTTCGTCAATAAAGGGAGATGGAGGTGGTGGTGGTGGTGGGGATAATTCTGGCAAGGGCGATGACCTGTGACGCTTCACTGTGCGTGCAGCTAGCCCTGAACAATACGCGCTCACTGTATCATCTTCATTTGTATTTATTTTACTTCCACTAGACCCTTGAGTTATGTCTCTATCAATCCTTGGGTCATCAATATAATATTCCACTTCATCCTCAAACAATAAACTGTTTATCTCCCCTGGAGAAAGCGGTTTTGCAATAGTGCGTCCCACAGGTGACTGGGAGCTGGAGGTGCGTGCGTCAGCCATGGTTGCTCGATCAAAACTGAGGCTACCCTCGGGCCTGGGGCATTCTGGGATTTTTTTTCAAAATGGCCGCCCCTCACTGATGGCCTCAGGCATCCATCTCATATACAACCAACTGCGCGCGTGTTTCGAATGGGTACCAAAAAAAAAAAAAAAAAAAAAAGAGTTTTCTCGGTTGGTGCAGTTTCCCGCCGACCGAGAAAACATGGTTGGCACAGTTAAGTGGTTAAAGGTAAGGTCTTCCGACATGAGTACACTCAAATCCTTTACATTGCTTTTTCGTTCTATGTTATGATTTGACTGCATTTTGTAAGTGGTTTTTGTCTTTATATTTTCATTTTTTCCATAGCACATGAGCTGGAACTTATCTTCATTAAATACCATAGTATTTTCTGAAGCACATTGAAAAACCTGATTAACATCTGATTGGAGGTTTGCTGTGCTCTCTCTGTTGTCTACTCTCATAAAAATCCTAGAGTCATCTGCAAAGGATTATACAGTGCTATAGATTGTGTCCTTGTCTATGTCTCATATGAGGATGAGAAAAAGTACTGGAGCATGCATAGTACCCTGGGGTGACTGAGCTCTTCACGGTTGATGGTCCGGATTTTATTTTGTTGACTATTACACATTGGGTTCTGTTAGTCAGGAAATTGTTGATCCATCAGACTATTTTTCTGGTAATTCCTTTTGAACGCATTTTGCATACAATAACACCATGGTCACATTTGTCGAAGGCTTTTGTGAAATCTGTGTAAATTACATCAGCCTTTTGTTTGTCTTCCATGGCATCTAATGCCATTTCATAGTGGTCCAGCAACTGTGATAGGCAAGAGTACCCTGTTCACAAAACATGTTGTCCAGGGTTATAGAGATGCTGTGATTTCATGTGTTTTGTGATCTTATTTCTTAGCACTCAAAGATTTTTATGTGTGATGTTAGTGCTATCGGTCTGTAATTTTTTTTGCTCTGCCTTATTTCCTCCTTTATGGAGTGGTGTTATCTCTGCTAATTTTAGTATGTCAGGGATAATGCCAATATTTAGGCTTTGTCTCCAAAGAATGTAAAGGGCCTGCAATGGTGTTTTTTTATAATGCCTGATTAATATAGAGTTCCAGGAATCAGGGACTGGTGTAGAGTGCATAGGCATACAGTCTATGGTTTCTTAATAATCCAGTGGGGATAGGGTGACATCTGATATATGATTTGATGTTGGTATCATATCCATGAAAAATTCATTTGGATTATCAATCTTCAGTGTGGTTTAGTGGCTCACTGAAAACAAGAGTCTACTGATTCCTCAGTATTTCTCTCCTTTCTTTGTTGTCATCAGTGAAAGTTCCATCTCCCTTTTGCAGGGGCCCGATACTAGATGTAGTTTTTTATCTTGATTTTACAGAGCCGGTCGGAGCCGGTCGGCCGAGCGGACAGCACACTCGACTTGTGATCCTATGGTCCTGGGTTCGATCCCAGGCGCCGGCGAGAAACACAGGCAGAGTTTCTTTCACCCTATGCCCCTGTTACCTAGCAGTAAAATAGGTACCTGGGAGTTAGTCAGCTGTCACGGGCTGCTTCCTGGGGGTGGAGGCCTGGTCGAGGACCGGGCCGCGGGGACACTAAAAAAAGCCCCGAAATCATCTCAAGATAACCTCGAGAAGATACATAAGAGAAAAATATTTCGGATTTCTCTCTATTTCACTGATGGAATTTTGCTCTTTTTGCCTCTCCTGGGTTTTGTATGATTCTTGTACTTCTAGTTCAATCGTTTCTATTTCTTTACCTAACCCTTGTGTGGCTCCGGGCTATTTAGCATTTGTCACCCACAGGCGCATACCAAAAAAAAAAAAAAAAAAATCTTTTTTTCTTCCTAACCTGTTAAGTCGTGTTCCCTGACCACGAGAAAAATAAAAAAAAATTAAATTGTACTTACTGACGACATAATTGAGCTGACAATATGGGTGATGACGTCACACCCTGTATGATCGCTTATGCACGGTGAATCCCAGAGGCGTCGCGCGCAGTCTTCAAGCAGCCAGAGTTGACAGGAATTTATTTTCGCATCTTTACTTACAGTGTCTAGGCCTATTTTATTAGCAATATTAGTCACTATGTTGACCAGACCACACACTAGAAGTTGAAGGGACGACGACATTTCAGTCTGTCCTGGACCATCATCGACTTGAGAATGGTCCAGGACGGACCGAAACGTCGTCGTCCCTTCAACTTCTAGTATGTGGTCTGGTCAACATACTTCAGCCACGTTATTGTGACTCATTGCCTGCATATTAGTCACTAATTGTGTTGCACATAATGTTACATCATAGTCATAGTCAATAAATGTTACATACATCAAGTATACACATGCGCACACAAATGTTTTCCATTACGCCATTATATTATGTAATCACAATGTTCATTATTATATGTACACACAAGCACGCACTATGTACAGGTTTTAGCACTATTATTGCACATTTAGAATTCTTGGAGAGTGGTAGTTATTGAAGCAGTCGACAGCACACAATGGAATTGCACACGTTTCACATCACGTTTGCACCACTTTACGTTTCTGTTCTCTCCTTTTTGTTGTTTTACATACTAAGCATTCATGTTGGCCTATTGCACGCTTTCCAGCTGGTGGCAAATGTTTTAGTCAGTGTTGCTGAAAAGCCTCCATGTAAGCGAGCCTGGGTGTTGCAGCATGCTGCAACACTGGGTTCATGATTGGTCTTCGTATGCCAGGGACATCTTTACCAAACTTTGCTAATAACTGTGTCACAAGTGGAAACTAGGTTTACGTCCAGTTTTCACCAGATACATATTATAGCAGTTCAACATGCTCATGTCAACAAGATGGAAAAACACTTTTTTCGTCCATTTCAATGTTTTCCGCACACAATAGTGCCAACCATCATGTCAGCCTTATCAATCAAACGCATGTTGATATTATAGTCAAGAACACAATCTGGCTTATATACTGGTTCTTTCGTTACACGGTTCACTTTGCCACTGTTCACCATTGTACGCTCATGAACAGTTATCAGCATGTTCACTTTTCTCTTATCTTTCCACCAAACCGAGAGTATTTGATCACATTTCCGTAACTGGGGCACTCACCAACTGCAAGTCTACCGTCAAACACTGGCATTTCCCTTCTTCGTGCCTTTACTGTGCCAACCAATCTAGTTCTATTTTCAATCAAGAACCTAGCTAGCAATGAACTTGTATAGTAGTTATCTGTGCATAAGATGTGGCCCTTGTTCATCTATGGTGCCATCAGTGACTTCACCACACTACCAGAGAACAACCCGCTCTCACACAAGACAGCACATATATGACTTAATGCTTAAAGTCAATATGTTGAATATGAATTAGTACATATGTGGTATATTCCAAGTTACATTTTTTCCAAGGCCCAAACTCTTCCTCACGTACCAATTTACGTCTCACAGTACCCATCCATCGCCGTAGACAGCAGAATAGTCGTGATTGGTTCAATTATAATGAAAATTGTAGTTTTCAGGTCCCACATGGGTTGTGAAATTTACCTGCTATTGTCCATGCTCTTAGAATATTACAGATCAGCTACATCCTATTGATGGCTCGTAGTTTTGTTTTGAGAAATATTAGTTGTTCTTAGCAAATTATAATAAGCACTATAATTTATTACATAGAATAATAGTGCTTCATCAATCAACATTATATACACTAGTTTGTGCTTTAAAAATCTTTAAAGAATGTATTGTAGGAATGTCAACAGAAAACGATGTTACGTTGGAATGTCTATGGGGTAGACTACTGCAAACAGGATGGTATAGTGTCTACTCCCTACTGTAGGATGAGTATAAGGTCTACTACCACCTGCTGTTAGGTGAGTAAGAGGTCCATAACACTTGTAGGATGTGTCTGGGCCCAATACCTACCCGTAGGATAGGTATGGGGTCCACTACCGGCTACTGAATGGGTATATGGTCCACTACTACACACATCATGTGAATTGTGTCTACTATACAGCCCACAGGATGGATATGGGGTCGACAATCACCCACAGGATGAAAATTGTGTCTACTACCGCCCACAGGATGGGTATGGCCTCCATTACCGCCCACGGCATGAGTATAGGGTCCAGTTCCGTCCACGGAATGGGTATATGGTTAACTACCGCCGATAGGATGGGTATATCGTCTACTACTGCCCACAGGATGGGTATGGGGTTAACTTTTTTTTTTTTTGAGATATATACAAGAGTTGTTACATTCTTGTACAGCCACTAGTACGTGTAGCGTTTCGGGCAGGT